CAGTCGTCCATCATAATTTAATCTGGGCCGTCCGATCGCGATTAAAATGTGAATAAATCTGGGCCGTCCATCGCGATGTGATCTGCGCCGTCCATGCGTGATTCAATCTGGGCGGTCCGCACGCGTGAGATCTGAACCCGTTCGATCGCGTGCACGCGGATCGCTCACGTGGCTCCGTCCCGCGTGGTCTCCCGCGTCAGCTTCCTTGCCATGCGGTGTGTTCTGGTTGGATGGGGCTACTGATTTGGCTGCTGACGTGGCACAACTTTTCTAAATTGCGTTTTGATTTCCGGTTTCCGATTTTTTTTTCAAAAACACTTCAGAATCCAAATTTTCACTTCTTTTTTCCAAATTCAATTTCAATTTAATCCCAAAAATAATTTTACCCTATTTTATCATTATTATTATTTTTATTTTTATTAAATTAAATTAAAAGTTTATAAATTAAATATTGAAAAATTAAACTAAAATTTTAATATAAATTAAAAAATAAAAATAATAAAAATTTGGGTGTTACAGGCTAGCCCGGGAAAGTTGACCTTAACCAATGTGGGGGACATTAAAGGCCAAAACGTCCCAATCCCTATCCATTTTGGAAATAGAAGACAAAGGTATAATTTGGATCTGGATCGTAACCTTGTTAAATTCTCAGGGTTGGGCCTTAAGAAAAATAGGTTCACTTGGGCTGAGAAGGAAAAATGGGTAGCAGAATTGGGATCTAGCGGGACTAAGGGTTTAAATGGTAAGGAAATTGTGAGGAAAAGCAGCCCAGCTCGAGGAGAACATTCTAGATTAACTAAGGTAGGGCTGTCTGATGAAATTTTTGAATCTTGTGAGGAGAAAAATGAAACTAAAAAGGAATTTTGTGACTATCCGGGACTTTAGCAATTTTCTCCAAATGCCATGCTTATCAAATGCCATTCAGGAGATCTAAAATCTTTTATTAATATGTTGGAATTAATATTATCCGGGACTTAAGCAATTTTCTCCAAATTCCATGCGTATCATAGCTTTACATGTCTATATTGATTCTAATACTAAAGTTGCCACCTCTCTTCTCTTTCCATTGCAAATATTCACTTTTTTCCCTTCTTTCTGAGGTTTTGAGTGCTCCATTTTTTATGGTTCAGTGTAGGAATGTTTGTGGGAGATAAGTTGAGAAGCCTTATTAAGGTGGCAACTTTAGCTAGTGTGACAAAGTTAAAAATCTTTTATATGTAGTTCAGGGAGGCATAGTTTCTTATGCAGTTGCAAATTATGTTCTGTTCACTTTTTATAGTTGTTTCATTTACTTAACTAGACGGTGCTCTCTGTAGTTGCTACCTGACCTTATTGAAATATGTACACAGGTAATTTGGCATAAAGAAATCTAAGGTCGTACTATTCGCACCACAAACAATTTTGTATAAATTGAAGTGCCTTGTGTTCTAAAAGAAACATCATTCTTGTTGAATATCACCGGTTTTCTTTTCTTTTAGTAATGATATTCTGCAGATCCTAAATCTCTCTGGACATTAACAGCTCAAATTTGCAGTTTTCTATTTTTGAATCATTAAAATGCTGTTGCCAACCATCTGCATTTTATACCTGCACAGCAAGTTACTCTGCCTTTCAATAGAGAAAAATGCCCAACCCAAATGGAATTTAGTGGATTTTCCATTCTTTTCATTTTCTAATTAAAACAGTGGTTTAGCATATAGCTCGTTAGAGAAGTGGTTCAGGAGGCTGTTTACTTCTGGTAGGTATGTGAGGGAAAATTAGGTATACAAGATCTTTCGTTGGAAACACATTTTGTGTCTGTTTGGTGGGTTTCTGATTTGTACTTCACTGCAAAAAAGCAGGAGTTTCAAATGCCTAAAACAAAAGCATCTTTAGTTAAAAGCAGAATTTATATTTGGTGTTTGATAAAGGTTGTTTATTGACATGAACTTGTATTGTTGCAGTTGAATAACATCTTTAGTGAGTATATTCATTAATTTTATCTTTTTATTAATTTATTAATTTAGAATAAAAATATAATTATAATAATCTAAACTCTATTAAAAATTGTTTGAATAAATTTTATTTTAAAGATAAATTGTTTTATTTTAAAGGTTAAATAAAAATGGTTTAAAATTAAAAGTTGTATTAAATAAAATAGATAAAAAATATTTATAAAATAACTATACTAATATAAATATGTACATATAATTCAAATTATTAGATAAATTTTAAGAAAAACATTTTGTATTATTTAAATTATTCTAATCATTAAAATTTTTTATTGTTATGCACTTTTTATCATTCAATAGTTATTATAAACTTCTATAGGTCCATATTTTTGGGTTGAAATTTATTTTCTTTCGATGACATTAGAACTGTTATCGATATTTTCTTAGATATGTAATACTTTTGTACATGAGTGGTACTCCCTTGGTGCCCTTTTGTAATACATCTACTAACTTCTATCTAAAAAAATGGTTATTACAAATTTTATAATATGATGAATCAAGCTTATTTCAAAAAAATGATATGATTAATCAAACATTACTTTTTAGAAGAAATATGATTGATCTAACATAATATCATATTTTATATTGACAATGCCTTCCGTATCAAGTTTTATCGACTATTATATTGCTTTCTTAATAAAGTTAGGTTTATTGAAACTCATTTTCATGGTACTTTTATTTCAAAAAAATTTCGTGGCACTTTAACAACTCATACCACAAATACTAGTCGAGTAAACCACACCCTGTAATAGGTAGTTAATGTAACTTAGAGGGGGAAGACACATGTCCTAGCTGTATATGTAGCAATTAATACAGTTTGTTTTGAGATATTAGGATGAAAGTGTATTAATGCATTGGTGTCAAGGGGGTACCGCCCATATACAAGCAAAGAATTTACCGGTCAGTAAGTATATTTACAATGGAACCAAAATCATCAAAGCTATCAAGATTGTGATTTAAAACAGTAGATCCAAAATAATGTAACCACATATCCTTGATAGTATCAAAATCAGTCTCTTTATCCTTACCTATTGTTTCTTTCTTTCCAAATAACCGAAAAAATGGTTAGGGGGTATGAGTTTGTGATGTTTGTTTCTCCATCAGAATCCTTCCCAATTAGTCAGTTCCTCCTTAACCAAACCAGAAATTACCCAGTGTATGCCCATGAGATTGAAAATCATAGACCAGAGCTTGAGAGTTACTGGACACCAAAGTAGCAAGTGGTTACAAGTTTCCAAATTGGTTTTGCATAAATAACATCTGTTAGCTAAAACCACTCCTCATTTCATGAGATAATCCATTGTCAAAATGCCCTCTTTTGCCATGCAAAAAAAAAGACTCTTGGCGGGGCGTGAGATCCCCAAATCAGTTTGGAGGGGAAATTGACCACAGCAGAACCCCCAAAATATCTATAGAGCAATTTAATTTTCTCATATTAAAATTGACAGAAAGCACATTGCTTTTACCCAGTTTCCAATTTAATTTATCTTCCATGCTGCTGAGATGGACATTGGCCAGAACCTGGAACATTTTCTCATACTCCCCAATTTCCCAATCCTGAAGATTTCTATTAACCGCCACTTCCCAAACAGGAGAGCTTTCATCGCAGAACGCCTTCTTGGTACTCATATCTTTATCCCTTGCAATGGCATAAATAAGGGGAAATCGGGATTGGAAGGTTTTATTTTCATGCCACACATCTTGCCAAAAAACGCAGCTTGTTACCTTTACCAACTATTCAATTAGAGCATTAGGAAATATCATTATTTGGTGCACCGAGGATGGGACAAATAATGGGTACTATTCTCTGTTATTTTTTTCTAGAAAGTTATACACCAACTATTGACAGCATCATGATCTAGAGGTTGCTCTGGACTCCCAAGACAGTGCTTGACTCCCCGTTCTGCTCCTCGGTCCTGGAGCTGCACCAGGGTCTTTGATAGCTCCCAACTCCTAACTTCTCTTAGATTTTCTTTATATGTATTGTCCCAAGGCAAACTAGTCAGTTTTTTCTTCATCGTATTCACAACAAAGTCCTGTAAACCCATCTCCTTACCCTTGGTTGCAAGAGTCAAACCAAGGTTCTAGATGGTTAAGGCAGACACTTAGTACTTTAGCACTTGAGCCACCTCCTCAACACGAACCTGATCCCCCTGCAGGCACAATTTGATTTACTCTAGTTCACCTTTAACCATGATTCTACTTGAAAACACAAGAGAATATGTTTAATGTTAAAAAAACTTACTTATACAGCTTGAGAAAAAGGAGAGCATCATCTACGATCATGTGATCAGTGACTTCGCTCCCCCACAATCAGCTCTTTGAAGACGGCTGAATGCTTGGATAATAAGGAGGGAGATATGAGGGTTTTGTTTACTAATGTAATTTACCTGCGTAGTCTCATGTTGGCATGTTATTTCATTTTATCCTTGATTGCTCGTTTTTTGTCTGATTTCTTTCATGTTACTCTTAGTATCGCGGAGATGTCCTCTGGTTTCAGCGTGCAATGTGGTTGCACTAGTTTTGTTGGATCCATTTATTTTATTTTCGTCTTATGTTAGAATGTATAATTCTTTTTGGTGGTGGAGTTGAATTTCTTAACCATCTCAGCTGGTGGCTTCTCTGTTTATTCGATTTTTCTTAGTGTAGTTTGCTTGGTCGTAAACTACTGGTGTTGTCAATGACGTTATTTCTACGTTGTACCAAAAGATAACTTGTTTCTGTTATCTTTGTGTGGAATGCTAGCCATTTTTTTTTAATTTAAAAGAGCGAGATTTATACTGTGAGGGATGGTCTGTAATTCTAGAAATCTTAGAAGATTTTGGGGCTTCTTTATTCAGGAAAGTGAAGTGACTTTTTCTGATCTAGAGAGATTGTCTCTAATTCTAGAAATCGTTTGAACAAAGACATTTGCTACAGGCTTGATGCTGTGCCTAAAATTTCAAATTGGTGTTTGTTGACATATTTTGTTGCCTCTATGGGATATTTATCTTTTCAGATCTTGGATTTATGGGTGGGAAGTCAAAGTCCTTGTATGCAAGAGATGGTCATCTGGGCATTACTCTAATTAAGTATCCCAGTGATCAATCAGGCCTAAGGGATGCTGTGAAATTAGCAGAATACTTTGAGAAGAACAATCACGGTCGCAAGAGTTGGGCTCGCGTGCAGCCCTTGACACTGGGCAAGGATGACGAGAAAAATCCAAGTCTTGTGAAAGTAGATGAGAGAACAGGAGAGAAAAAGAGGATTTTTTATGGTTATCTTGCAACTGTTGCTGATCTGGACAAGGTTGATTTTGAGACAAGGAAGAAGGTTACAATTGAGAGCCTGAAAGAATACAAAGCATTCAAATAATATATTCTCGGTAAGATTACAAGGTACCATGATGTGTAATTTGTAGCGATTTAGCCTATGAATCTTTGATGGCTAATCTCTCTGTCATTCAAGATGATTGAAGCTTCATATGATTTGCTTGCTAATAGTATTTATACTTCCCAATTTCTCTAATGATCCATTTTTATTCCTATTCAACTTTTATCGAATTCCTTAATTATTAGAATGCTACAGGACACACTTAGATAGTAATTTTTATGTTTTCCACTCTTGTAGATTCCAATTCTTCCAGGGTAGGTAAATATTAGAGTTGTACCTAGCTTGAATGGAAAACAGAATTAGAATTCTATTCTCATCCCAATCCTATTTCATTTGTGTTTTTTCTTATTTTATGGAACTAGCATCTTGAACCAAAATATAACCTGTATATAATAGTTTTTTTTGGGGCCAACTAGATGTCTTATTTGTGGTCGATTCAGTAGATACACTAACTGTTGTTGATACCCACTGATACATAGTTTATAAAAGAGTAATTTGGGCTTGAAGCGATGAGTCTGCAAATTTTATATGTGCGGTTGGACAAGAGGCATGGATTAGATCTTGGAGTATTGTGTGGACAGGTGGCATGGGATCAAAATGAGGGTGGATTAGGTTTTTATTCAACAAACAATAGTCCCAGCACATCTTACAGAGTATGATTGGCCATGGTACTAACTTTCAGTGGAATTTTACAACCAGATGAGTTGCATAGAATCAGTGTGAGATTAGATTTAGTTGGAAGAAATAAAAAGGGTTGATTTACTTCAAGTTTTTTTTTATTTTGGAAGGTCACACTATCACCACCAATTTGGCTTCTGTGTTTTTGTTATATCTCATTTGTCGCACTGCTTGTCCCGCGTGAACTTCTTTTGACAAACGGACAGCAACTTATATTACACCTTGTAGGGTCTATCTCGATTACAGAGTCTTGTTGTGCTGCATCCCTACCAATAAGATTTTATTATTTTTATCATTAAACTTAACAGAGAATGGGCTCAATCTTCATTGATACTTATTCCTTATGAAGTACGTGAATCCACATGTAAGAAATTTTTTATTAAATGTTGATAGTAAAGAATACAGTATTAAGCAGAAAGTCGTTCTGGCTTAAGTCTCTTCCTATTTTTCTTGCGCTAACATTAATATGCGAAGTTGTTATACTTCTGTTGATCCCTTTCTGTCTTTTTTTTTTCTCTGAGATGGGGTGGGGAAATATTGGAACATGAGTCAGTGAACTCTTTATTAACAATGTTATAAGTTACATGCTTGTACTTA